GACCTTGTGGCGGCCTATAAGTTCATCACGGGGGCACAGAAGGGAATTGGTGAGTATTTACTCACCAAGGCGCCCCCGGGGGTTACAAGAAATAATGGCCACAAGCTAGCAGAGAGCAGATTTAGACTGGACATTAGGAAGAACTTCTTCACAGTTCGAGTGGCCAAGGTCTGGAAGGGGCTCCCAAGGGAGGTGGTGCTCTCCCCTACCCTGGGGGTCTTCAAGAGGAGGTTGGATAAGCATCTAGCTGGGGTCATCTAGACCCAGCACTCCTTCCTGCCGATGCAGGGGGTCAGACTCAATGATCTACTGAGGTCCCTTCCGACACTAACATCTATGAATCTATGAATCTAAGACCCAGCTAGACAAAGCCTTGGCTGGGATGATGTAGTTGGGGATGGTCCTGCTTGGAACAGGAGTTGGACTAGATGTGACCTCCTGTGGTCCCTTCCCACCCTTATATCTATGGTTCTCTGATTTCAGCACTCCTCATCTGCAAGAGCAGCAGGACGGAGGAGCCAGCTGCTCAGGGAAGTGGTGGGGTCTCCATCCCTGGAGGGTCCCTGCAGAAGCTGGGCCATGTCTCTCTTAGCTGGGGTTGGGCCAGGGCTGCCTGCAGCTGGGAGGGGGTGGGATGGGCGATGCTGGCCCCTATGAAGGGCCCAGGTAGGGTCGAACCCCCTGTGTCCACACAACCATGTATTTTAGAGAACTGGTTACAAGAAAACTTCATAAAACTCAATCCAGAAAGAGCACAGGTGATGCCAGAGTCCCTGTGCGCTACTAGGGACCGACAACACAATTCTGGCTGTATCCAGGGACAATGCATCCAATGTTCAAAATGGGGGAAAGAGGCGAGAAACATAGACAGCTCACAGACAAATCCCCAACCTTATAAACCTGGAAGAGAAAACAATCCCAGGTCCTGAAGGACGAATGGTGTCACAGTGTCCCCAGGCTTACTGAGTTCAACATGGTCGAAGTTACCCGCAGGTGTCCGGACTTTCAGGGCAACCTACTTGGGCACCGTTTCAGAGGCGGGGTCCTGAAAGCAGGGTTTTCCAGTAGGGTGGAGCCCGCCCTTTTGTTGGCATGGCTGCAAATATAGCCCTGCCCCCCCCACAAGTGCCACTGCAATCCCTTTCCCCTGCTCTGCTTTCTGCTCCCTGCCCTGTGCTCCCTGTTCCATTTCCACTCTCCTTTCTGTTCCCTGCCTGATCTGCTACTCTGCTTTCTGCTCCCTGATCCATCTGTCACTGCACCGCCCGTCCCCTCTTCAGTCTGCCCTTGTGGTCCTGCAGATTGGCCAGCCCGATTGCATACCCTGTCCTTGAACAGGACTGCAGCACAAGAGGAACAGGAGGCACGGACATAACCCCCCTGTTATAATATGAAGCCACCTTCATGTGAGTAGCAAACATGGTGCGTCTCTTTCGAGATATGTGCAGACCAGATGCAACCCAGTCAGGACCAGAAGCAACCCAGTTTGGCCCCTCTGGGTGCACAGATCCCTCCTGCCCCCACCCCGCTCCTGCCTCCTTGCTTCTCCTGGAGGGGAAAGCCATTTCCCTGCTCCCCAGCCTGGTCCCCACAGCCCCAGGACATGGCCTTCATTACTGCTGCACGAAGGGATCCCAGTGCAAGGCTGTGTGCCCGGTCCCTGGGGGCCGAACCTGGCATCAGCATCCATGGGACAGGGCTGTGGCTGGAGGAGGGAGCAGGGCGGGGAGTTGAGGGCTATCCGGCAGCGGGGATGGGGATGGAGAAGCGTGCAAGCTAGGAGTTGGACCTGCAGCATGACAGAGAGGTCGGGTGAGGGGAGACGTGTACGCAGCACAACAGCAACAGCATCCGGCAGCCCAAAGGGACACAAACACCTGCTCCATTGGGGTGACTGCTCCACGCTGGAATGGCTGGCAAGCTGGGGGTTCATGGCTGCACCCCTCAGTGGTGCTGAGCTATCTGCTCCCAGGGGCTTCAATGGGAGTGAAGTCCACCCACATCTCGCAGAATTAGGGCTAGATGCACCCAGAGCCCCACTTCCCCTGCATGGCCACTCTGCTCCTTGCACTGGGCTGTTCCCTGCAGCCCAGAAGGACAAATCCGGCACTGGTCCAAGCCCATCTCAGGACCCCGAGGGTGTCTGATGAGTGTGAGGAGGAGGCAGGTCACTGGTAGCCAACTGTGTGCATGGGAGGCTACAGGAGGGGTACAAATCCAGCGATGCCAATGCTCCTGCTAGGACTCAATCCCAGGGGTCCTGGCTAGAGGGTCTTGCCCTTCTGCTCAGGGTCAGACTGACACTACATTTGGGGTCAGGAAGGGATTTTGCCCCCTGGTCAGATTGGTGCAGCCTGGGGGTGGTTTGCCTTCCTCTGCAGCATGGGCATGGCCTCTACCTGGGATCTCACAAGACTGTATTAACCTTTGAAAGAAGCAGGATGTTGGCTGCTGCCGTCCCCTTGCTTTCCCTGGGGCAGGGTCGGGTTTGATGCTCGGTGCTGTGTCTGGGGTGATTGCATAGTTTTGCTAAAAGGCTGGACAATGGATGTGCCTGGGATGGTTGGGACAGGGGTTGGACTGGATGTGACCTCTGCGGCTTGCTTCCAGTCCCGCTGCTCTGGGATTTCTATGAGCTGGGTGGGGAATCCGGGGTCACTCTGTGCTACTCTGGGGGTCTGACTTCGTGAGGACCTTACACCCTAGGAGTGTAGGGTCTTACACCTATGTGACCATCAGGGCTGGGGCACTGCACTACTCACAGATCCAGAGGGTGAGGGTATCTGTCCCCTTCCTTCACCGGCAGCACAAAGTAGGGGACACCGTGCACGGTCCCGGTCTTGTCCTGGTAGTGCTCGCGGTGCTTCTGGGAAAGCTGGAGGGCAAAACAGGGGCTTGAGGGGCATGGAGGGGCAAAGCCACGTCTCTCAGAGCCCAGTGCTAAGACACTTGCTCTCAGTGGGGCTGAGTGGAGCTAAATTCCCCTCCAGCCTGCAAAGCACACCGGCCTTTCTAATCTAGGAATAATTGCTGCTGTGTTTCGGAAGCAATCTCCTCCCTCCCCCTCCCTCAGGCCCGTGGGGTGTAGCAGACAGGTAGATAACGATTGCAATAAGCAGGGTTGGCGCCTGGCTCAGCCATTTGGCAGCTTGGGTTTTAATTATTGATGAGGCCTAGGAAGCCTCATTTGGGGAGCGGCAGAGTCGAGCAAGAGGGGTTCTGCTGTATTTACCCTGGGAGACAGCGATCGGGTGCAGTCAGACATGCACAGAGGCTCACGCGTGCATCGGGTCGGCTCCCAGATGCCTGTGCAATTGCACGCTTTGCTGCTCACTTCACAGGGGGCAGAGGGTGGGTGTGCATGCCAGCAATAACACTGTTTGGTACCGGGGGGGCTCTGGCTTCTTCTTTTCTCACCCCCCTCTCACTTCCAGCCTGCTTCCTGGAGCAAGACGGGGCTTCTCTGTGCTGGGCTGCTACATCCAAGCCTCTGAGCTGTGCCAGGCGGGTTCCCTCAGACTACAAAGCCAAGTCCAATGATACACCATGGGCAGCCGGTTCCTCCGTCCTGCTACAGCAGGGGAAACTGAGGCTGGGGATGAGGAGAGACTTTCTAACTGAAGGTGCTCAGGCATGGGACCAGGCAGCTGGAGAAGTGGTGGCATCTCCATCCCTGGAAGTTTCCAAGAGCAGGTCGGACAGACCCTTGGCTGGAGTGGGTTAGTCAAGGCCGATCTTGCCTTGAGCAGGGGGTTGGACTGGATGTGACCTTGTGAGGTCCCTTCCAGCCTGCCTTTCTTATCAGCCAATGATCCTGAGCAATTAAAAATCATCCTTCCCTGGGGTACATGCACACCGCATATACTGCTAAGGCCTGGAGCTGACTGGTTGCACTGGTCCCCATGCAGCGCCTGGTCACTCTGTGTAAAGTCCAGCCCCATGCGTATTTAGATGTAGACTCCCCACCTCAAGAAAGACCTTCTCACCTTGTAAAACTCCTGCAGCTCTCCCAAACGGTTGATATCCAGGTTGAACCGGGAGTAGGAAGGGATGTGCAGCCACCTGTTCCAGGTCCGCGCCCGGCTCTCCAGCACCAGCCCCGGGTCGTAGGAGAAGAGGGTGGGGAAGTAGCCCCCTTTGCTGTAGGGGCTGCGGCTGCTCTTCATGACGGCGCTGCGGAAATCCTGGAAGTATTTCATCGTCGTGTTCCCGTAGGTGTCACCAAAGGAGAACGCCACGTTCGGGACATGCCCGTGATACCTGCGTGGAGGAGACACAAGTCTAGTTAGGGACGGCAGCAAGCTAAGGGTCCACGGGCGGATCTAGGATTTTGAAACGGGGGGTGCAGATGTTGTGGTGCATCGTCACATAGAACAGGACACCTATTTTTCTCCATTTATGAAGGAACCAGAAGCTTTTGTAATACGCTACATTATTCAGTTTTAAACAAAAGCAAAAACCCAGCTGGAACGTGCACTCATTTGCTAGATTATATCTTAGAAAGGTTAAAAAACACAAAGAAACTAGGCAAAAAAAAAAAGGTCAACATAGTTAAAAGATCTTATGTTGTTAGTCCTGCAGTCGTTATAGTTCAGTGTGTCTCTTATTCAGATTCATGAAGCAAAATCTAGTCTTTTGGCACGTCTTGACAAGGCTTCCTATACGCTGCGGTCAGTCATTGCCGCACCTGAGTTAATGTGACCACACCTGAGATAAGGTTTCAGTTGGAGCTAAAAACAGTCGGCAGGGCTGTGAAATAGGAGAGGGGCATGGCTACCAGACAGCAGAACTGACGAAGAAAAGGTGGCTCAAATAGTAAAGTTTTAAGCCCATTCAAAAGGAGAGAGGATTGTTGTCACTTACAGAGCAAAGAGAGATTAGCAGGAATCAGGGAGATGACAAGGAGCCATGAAGTCTACTGAGTCTCTCAGCACTGCCTGAATAGAAACGCCGCTCCCCACCAGCCCCACAGCTAGTTTTTAAAATTTGGATGGAGCAGGATTCAAAGAGGGGTGCAACTGCACCGTGACACCCCCCTGGATCCGCCCCTTCGTGCACAGGGAGCTGCTGGTCCCTTGTCCCCATTATAAGCTACTCCCGTTGCAGCCATGAAAGCATGGAGACACGGCGAGTGGCAGCAGGAGGAGGGTTTTCCGTCAGCTCCTGTACGCCATTTCTCCAAATCACAGAAAAGTCAGGGTGGAAAGGACTTCTGAGGTCATCGAGTCCACTCAGAAATACAGAAATATACAGAAATGGGGCTGGAAGGGAGATGCATGTAGTCCAGCTCCCCGCCTGAGGCAGGATCAGCCCTGTACAAACCAGCCCAGACAAATCCACAATCACAGAAATCATAGAAATCATTGAAATCCAGCTGGCAGGGAGCTGCAGAGGTCACCTCTGGTCCAACCCCTGCCACCCTGTGCAAACCAGCCTGGACAAACCCAGTGTCCAACCTCTGAGCAAAACTACTGTCAGCCCTAACCAGCACCAGGCATCGCACCCAACCCTGCCCCAGGGAAAGCAGGGGGACTGCGGTGGCCACCGTTGGTTGTTAATATACACTTGAGGACCCGAGGCAGAGGCCATGCCCCCGGCTACAGAAGAAGTCACCTTCCAGTTTGTACCAATCTGACCATGGGGGAAAATCCCGTTGTGACCCCAAATGCAGCATCAATCTGAGCCTGAGCGGAGGAGCTATGCAGCCCTCCCTCCATACACACCTACCCACCGCTTGCATATACCCCACAGTCCCAACTGGCAGACCCTACCAGCTTCTGTCATCTCCGCACCTCGTTTGAATTCAGAGGAAGAGGGAAATTCAAATGCAGTTATAGCAGGGCACGCAGGGACACCAGAGAGTCAGAGCAGAGATGTCAAAGGGAAAAGGAGTAATAATACCGATGGGAGCAATGGCCAAGCAGCCACCCCTCGTGGAAAGGAGGACTGAAACCAGCCGGGAAAGCAAGTGAGATCAGAGAGGAACCACGGAGGTGATGTACAGAGATGCTGAAGCCCAAAGGCAAGGACTGGGATTGACGTGACAGGGAGGACACAAGTCCAAGGCATCGTGCAGATGTGACTGGAACAAGGGGACAGACGAGCACGAGGCAGTCACAAAAGACAGACATCAAGAGAAATGGTGTGATCCAGCCAGGATCTTCTTGGCCCTGACCCCAGCCCTGCCTCAGACCTCAGTACATCGGTCTCCCCGTCTTTAAATTGGGTCTGTGACTAGATGCCTAGGTGTGGAGGAGGCTTTGGTGGGGGGTCAGCCAACACAGGCACAGTCCCCTGGAGATTTTAAGGACTGAGCAGACAGAATTGCTGACTCTGCCACTAGTTTTAAGAGGTAGCTCACCATGTTCGTCTGAAATCAGGCAGAAGGGAGAGTAGATTTTCACCTTATAGTCTAACTAAATCAGAGATGCATGAACTTTCACAAGCAGCGGCTTGCATCAGCAGAACGGGTTGCTGCTTACAGAAGCTCATGCATGTACGATTTGGTTGTGGTTAGTCTACAAGCTTACGCATCTGATTTAGTTAGTAAATCTACGCTGCCTTCTACCAATTTTAAGACCCTCTCGGCCAGGCGATAAAACCCTGGGCTGTTTTACACCCGCAAGGGCAGTGGATCCCCGGGTGATGACACGCTGCTCTCTGGACAGCCACAGCTTACCACAACACAGGCTTAGACAACTTGCAGGACACCGGAAAGGCACTGAGCTATGATCGACTGGCCGAGACCAGAGGGGCAAATGCCAGAAGATATGAATCATAGTTTCTGCCTTTCCACGCGCACATCACGCGTGTGACGTTGCAGCGGAGGCTACGCTGCCATTGAACGGACACCGGGACGTGCCCGGTGGAGCTTCTCCACCCTCACTCATAGCTCCTCGTTGAACCTTACCAGAGGGAAGAGATATCACGGCAGTGCAAAGTTCACGGCCCACCCGGCTGTGTTGGAAGCAGGAGGGATCAGATGTTGTCAGGGAGATGAAGGCAATCTGAACGCAAGGGTATTTCCCATTGCCTTTCCACTGCCCTGTACATGGGGACTCAGGGGCATTCAGTGAAATCTTGCATCATGGAGGGATGTGCTGTCACCTGAGGCATCGTGTCCATCCTGGTCTGGGCAGGTGCTCCCTCCATAAGCCACGCCACACTGGGTTGGACCCATGGTCTGGCTAGCTCAGTATCCCATCTCTGACGGTGGCAGAGTATTGATGGCAGGGTATATCTGTACCTTAGAGGGCTCTGCTACATGTTACATGGATTATACAATTAACTGGTAAAACATGCAGTAAGTTTAGATCGGCCACACATGCAAAGCACAGATTAGCCACATGTGCAAAGTAATTAGCATGCAATTAGCCAGGTAACTACACAAGACATTTAAACTGGCTATACATGCAAAGTAATTATCACGGCATAAAAATGGCTATCCAGCTACAAAAAGAGCTGACCTGCTACACAATTAGTGCTTGAAAACGTGGACCGGTTCTACAGTTGGTTTCTCTCCAACTTGCATATGAGCGTGTGGCAGAGCTCATGACCTACCTAGTCACCCCGCTGGAAGTGCTGCATGACCTGGGGAGCTCAGAAGAAGAGCTCTGCCATCTGGCGGATAAGGACATCGTGCAACCAGCCTTGGTGACGGGCCTCACCCGAAGCGCTACACATGCTTTGCCTTGGCTCCTGCCTTCGACAAAGCAAGATGCAGTGAGATGAGGGATGAGGGACTCAGATCGGTGTTGGGTGCTGGGCCACTGTGAGCATGGGGATCCTGTCCACCCCCGCAGGACCTCACCGGCTGGCTGGCCAGCGCACACATCGGCACTGTCAAGGCAAGCAGGAGCTTGGAGCATCCTCCCATCAGGACGTCGCTGCCAGGGGTGGGACGTGCCCCAGTCTGTTCACATCGCCCACCGCCTCCTCTCCATGCCTCGCTCTGGGCTTCTCCTGTCATGGCATTTTCTTGGGCTCATGAAAGCTTGTGCTGTATGCATATCTGAGCGAGTTAGTCTGTAAGGTGCAACCCCTCCCCCTCCATCTCTTCTGCCTGCCTCAGATGGCTAACGACCTCTCATTAGCAAGAGCCATGGCAGCTGAAGACATGTGAAACATCCTCGTTCCTAATTGCACATCCCCTGGTGCCAGCAGTGCTAGGTCTCTGCCTGTTCCCAAAGATTTGCCTTTGATTTAGGTGCAATAAAGAAGTCTTCGGGATAATGAGGGAGACCTCACTGCTCCCATCCCCTGCAGGCCTCCCGCTCGCTCTGTTGGCCTAGCAAGCAAACAAGGGAACTTTTGTGGAAAATGAAACGTTTTTTGAAAAAAAACGCAGGAGAAAGGGAGGCAGAAACAAAGCAGAGGAGAGGAGGGAAGAGCCTGACGGGCCTCAGGCTGGGAAGCCCTTGCAGCTGCCGCGAAGGAGATGCTCTGCCTGGGTGGAGGGCACTGCCTCTTCCCGTGCCAAAGTGCTGCTTGTGTTGCCGTGGACCTGCGTGGAGCAGACGTGATGCCAGGTGAGTCCCCACACGTTAGCCCCCCGAACAAACACACCCGGTGGGTGTCTGACACCAGGGAAGCACCATTGCCTAGGGGTTAGGGTCCTTGTCCCAGTGAGCTGGAGATGCAGACAGGGTTTGTACCTCTGTCTCCTACGCTGCCATCCTCCTCTTGATGCCGGCCCGCTGAGTAGCCAAGGCAGTGATGTCTGTGGGGCCAGGGAGAAGATAACCAGGTACATGGCTCAGTGAGATGGACACTGGCATGGAAGGAATAGGGTGCTGGGCACTCGTCTGGGTCCCTCCATCGTCCTTGGGCAAAATGATAAAGTCCCAGAGCCGTGGGGCGGGCAGGGAGCTGCAGAGGTCACGTCTATCCAACCCCTGCCTGAGGCAGGATCAGCCCTGTGCAAACCAGCCCAGACAAACCCATCATCTATAAACTCTTAGCAAAACTACCATCAGCCCTGATGCAACATAGCCAGCACACCTGAAGCTGCCCCAGGTAAAGCAGGGGGACCGCAGCGGCCAGCATCCTGCTTCTATGCAAGGTTAATAGACAATTAAGAGACCCCAGGTAGAGACCATGCCCCTGCTACAGAGAAAGGCAACCCCCCAGTTTGTAACAATATGAATGAACATGGTTTAAAATCCCTTCCTGACCCCAAATGCAGCATTGGACTGACCCCGAGCAAAGGGGCAAGACCCTCCAGCCAGGACCCTGCAGGGTTGGTGCCAGCAGGAGCATTGGCACAGCCCCGTGCCCATCCCCAGCCTGGGCTGCAGCACCCAGCACCCCTGGTGGAGGCTTAATACCCCCCGAGACATGGAGCAGGAAGGAGGGGAGGGGGAACCAGCACAGCCCAGAAGCCGGGAGATCCCCATAGCAGAGCACAGGCACCGCTGCACCTGGATCATCCCCACCAGTGTCTGTCCCCGCTCTCCTTGACACCTCCAGGGATGCAGAGTCCCCCCCTTCCTTGGTGTCTCTCCTGCTCCTCCCTGCTCTGACAGCGAAGACATTTTTCCTGAGATCCAACCCAAACCTACTCGGCTGCAACTTCAAGCCAATGGCCTGCATCATCTCTGCAGCGAGAGAGAACAGGGGTTTCCCTCTTCCTTATCACAGCCCTTCAGGTATTTGCAGGCTGCTGTCATGGCCCCAATTAAGCACCTGTCCATCAGCTGAACTTGCCCAGCTCCTTCACCCCTTCCTCGCAGGACTTGCTTTCCAAGCCCTGTATTGTCTTGTCGCTGCCTCTAGACCCCCTCTCTTCTCCAGTGCCAGCCAATAAATGGTAACTACACAAAGCAACAGGCCAGGTGCTGGAGGGGTCTGGGCAATACCTGTCTTGTGCCTCAATGGTTCAAACCCTTTCCTGGGAAGGGGGTGATGAAGGCTGCACCCCCCCAGGGCAGGGGAGTATCAACCATGCCCCCGTGCTGCTGCCTCTCCCTCTCCTCCATCCCACCAGTCACTTGGGGGCAGATGGACGGGTCTCAGTCTCTCTATCCATCTCTCCCTACGGTCCCAAACCCAGCAAGCAGGAGCAGACCCCTCCAATGCTGCCCGCCCCATGAAGCCGGTCCTTCTTTCTTCTCCACCACAATCCCACACAGCTTTCTCTTCTCTACCCATCCCGTGCAGGTTGCTGGTCAGCCCT